GGGGGCTCTTTGGTTGCCACCAGGGAGGGGGCCAGCAAGGGGGCTCTCTGGGTGCCTCCAAGGGCTGGGAAGGGGGTCTTTGGGTGCCTCTGGGGGCTCTCTGGGTGCCACTCGGGGATCAGGGAAGGGGCTCTTTGGGTGCCACCAGGGAGGGGGGGTTTGGGTGCCCCCAGGGGCTTGCAAGGGGGTCTCTGGGAGCCACCCAGGGGTCAGGGAGGGGGCTCTTTGGCTGCCAATAGGAAGGGGGGGTTTGGGTGCCCCCAGGGGCTGGAGAGGGGGGCTCTTTGGGTGCCCCCAGGGGCTCCTTCGTTGCCACCAGGGAGGGGGCCAAAAAGGGGCTCTCTGGGTGCCACCCACGGGTCAGGGAGGGGGCTCTCTGGGTGCCACCAGGGGCTTGCAAGGGGGTCTCTGGGTGCCACCCAGGGTTCAGGGAGGGGGCTCTTTGGGTGCCACCAGGGAGGGGGGGGTTTGGGTGCCCCCAGGAGCTGAAGAGGGAGGCTCTTTGGGTGCCTCCAAGGGCTGGGAAGGGGGTCTTTGAGTGCTTCTGGGGGCTCTCTGGGTGCCACTCAGGGCTCAGGGAGGGGGCTCTTTGGGTGCCAGCAGGGAGGGGGGGGGTGGGGGGCCAGGGGTTGGAGAGGGGGTTCTATGGGTGCCCCTAGGGTCTCTTCCGTTGCCACTGTGGAGGGGGCCAGCAATGGGGACTCTCCGGGTGCCACGGGCGGCTCTTTGGGTGCCACGGGGAGCCAGAGGGGGTCTCTCCAGTTGTCCCCGGGGGGGCCGGGAGAAGAACGACCTCCGCTGCCCTCCCACCCACCCACCGGGACCGAGACTCACCTGTGGGGGGGTCGGCCATGCTCCCACCGCCGCTGCCGGGCAGCCCCTCCCGCCACCGGGACCCGCCGCTTCCCCCTCCGGCCCCGCCCTCACCTGTTGGCCACGCCCCATCCCCTGGCCACGCCCCCTTGGCCACGCCCCCGCCCGAGACCACGCCGCCGCCGCCATTACCTTTCCCTTTTAGATTTATCACCAAACTTGGCTTTTTCTACAAAAAACGGGTGGAGGGAAGAGGTCCCACCCAAGGTGCGGGGCGCACCCAAGGGTGGGGGGCCCGCCCCAGCTGGGGTGACGGGTGTCAGCGAGGGGGAGGGAAAGGGGAAGGAAGAAAAGGTGAAAAGCTGGTAAATCCACCCAAAAAAAGCGAGGCCAGGCCTCCCAAGAAAAAAAACACCATCTTGAAGAACTGGGCTTTAAAGAAAAGCCTTGGTGGGATTGGGGGGGGGAGAGCCCCCAGCGTCCCCTGAAAGGGGCTGGAGGGGAGAAGGGGAAACGGAGAACGGGATGGGAATGCCAAAAATGTCCAACCAACTCCTAGACCAGCAAGAAAGTCCTGATTGGCAAGTCCAGCCCCCCCCCCCTGTCACCCCCCCCCCGAGATCTGTATCCCTCCCTCTCACACCACCCTCCAAAAATATCTCTAGTGTGCACTCCAATTTCCTTTTTCCAGCACCATTTTGAACCTCAGGGCGGGCAGGGGAGAGAGACCCAGGCG